AAAACGAAATATTGAGTCAGCCAGGAGTTCTGAAGACTGCTGGAAAAATGGGCAAATTAAGGCTGTAAGCCATGGCAGGATAATTCTCCCATACACAGCCAACTTAAAAAGAAAATGTGAGGGTTTCCGTTTTACCGATATTAAGTTGATATTACTGTTTTCATTTTTTTGTTTTTATTTTTACAATTTTGATATAATAACTGATCTAAGTGGGTTGCTCTGTGGGGAAAGGCACATTTTACATTTATATTACTGTGTGTTTTAAAGTCTCTATACTCCAGTTAATGATGAATCACTTACTTAATTAGTTGACGATTATTGAAATAATTAATTAATATGATTCATTTTTTTCAGCCCCAGATGAAATACATGAAATGGGCTACACAGAGTACCTACAGCCCAGATGTTCCACTTTTATAGTGAAGTTAATATTTTAATGAATGTATTATTTTGCTTGATACAGAGAGAGAATAGTAGGTGCAAATATAAGAGTGGGGTTTACCTCTGCACAATTATATATCTTCAAAAGAAAATACTTTATTTACCTTCTCTCTTAGTCGTTCAAATGAAACCGTTTTCAAAGTGGAAAACAGTCCTAATTCCACATTCATCAGAGCCGGTGATACTTCAAACATTGATAAACAGCATCTAATGAGTGTAGAGCTTATAACATTTTTATTAATGGAGCAAAATGTTTTTCTCTTTTAACAATGAATTCCTCTTATCAGTACGGATGCTCACATTGAGCATAAAAAAGGACATATTGCATAGCACCAATGACACCAGACCAATAGTGTCCCTACCAAAGTTCAAATCAAACCTACGCCCTTGTCCCTAAGCAAACCTACGCCCATGGTTGTCAGAGTGAAAATGCTGAATAAAAGACAACAGAGAAATCTGGAACTGGTGGCTGAATAAATTTAAGACCAAGCCTGCAGTCAATAATTTACTGAAACAATAAAAAAGTAATCTTACCTGTCTAAGGGAGAGTGGTAGAACTAAGGTCCAGCTTTCAATCCTCCTAGTGAATGTATGGAAGCAGAAGTGTCCAGCACTTTTCCCAGCAACTGGTACTAAACAGAAAGGAAAACTTGATATAATAACAAAAATGTGCCCACAAAGTTTGATCATGTGTTGCTAGGGAAAGTGCAAATTATCTCTCAAAGTAAAAGTAATCTCGCATCCACTATTCATTTTTTGTTGTGTCCTTTCTGCTGTTCTCACTCACAGACCTGGTCAAGTTTTAATGACAATGGTACTTCTAACAGGTGTAATGACACAACTGCTAAAATTATGAAAGGACAATCCTACATGATAGAGAACTTTCTGCAACGGAAATTATGATCATCTTCTTGTTGATTGCAGCCAAACCCACCTTTTTTTTCCGCTCTCTTTCTGCTTCCATTGTGCTTGTTAGATTTTTTTGTTGCTTTAGTAATTTCTTGTTAACCACAATGTTTTAAAAGTTATAAGCTTTAATACTAATGTTAAAACCATGTGCCTCTTTTTTTTATCTGTTTGTTTTTCTTTTCGAAGTTTTCTTTTCCAATTATCCTGTTA